GAAAAAATAGGGAACATGGTGGTTTGTGTGGGGGGGGGGGGGGGGGGGGGGGGGAAGTGGGGAGACATGGAGAAACCAGATCAAAGCTTTAAGTAAAGATATCTTGATTGACTATAGACCCAAATTTTCTTAGTATTCTCTTTTTTAACAGAATTGGTCTGAGGAAATAAGCCCCATTATCGCTTGTTTAGAACAACAGGATATTTCAGTACCTGTGACATAACATGTTGTCTCCATCACAGCCTTATTCTTCTTCCTGCTGGCACTTGTTAGAGAATCAGGACCAAAACCCCCTTCCTGGATTATCTCCCTAAATTATGGAGTTGTTTTGTATGGATGGTTTTTGTTTTTTTCTAAAATATCCATTTATATGCTAAGCTGAAGTGAGTATATAATCATTAATTTTGGAGTCCATACACAGAAAACAATTTGTATTTTTTATAGCATAACTTCTTGCATATCTCAGTAATTATATTTAATTTCTGATCTTATTTGCATACAAGCACTTTTCCCCTGCCCACAAATTAGCAGCTGGAAATTGGGGTGTGTGCATCTTTACACAAGGAAATATGTGAAGTAGAGAGCCTGATCCTGCTGTAGTCAAACTGCAGCACATGTTAAGAAAGACACTGACCAACTGGAAAGAGTTAAGAGGAAAACAACACAACTGATTGGAGATCTAGACATGCCATATAAAAACAAGTTGGAAGAACTGAGATCTGGTCTGGAGAAGACTGAAGGGGAGATACAGCAACTGTCTTCAAGCACAGGAGTTTGTTGTTAAAAAGAGGATGGTAATCAATTGTCTTGTCCCATGGAGAGACAGAACTAATAAAAACAAACTCTGAAACTGCACTGAGGCAGATTCAGGCTAGATGCAAGGAAGAACTTTTTAAACAATGGGTGGATAATCACTAGAGCAGGTTTCTTCGAGAGGCACTGTGATCTTTGTCACTGAAAGTTTAAGTGGAGGTTAACAAACAATGGTTTGGGGATGGTTTGAGCAGAAGGGTAGACTAGGTGACCTCCTGATATCCCTTCCAGACCTATTTTTCTATAATTCTATGAGACTGTTCTG